GATGGTGCCAGAACATTGTGTAATGCGTGTGGTCTTCGTATGTGTATTACTTGATTTAAATTTGGCATTTCGAAAGTAAAAATTTTTTAATCTCACGCATTCAATCATCACATAGACTTTGCCAAAATAATGAGGAAACGTGCTTTGATGGTGATGCAACAACAATATCAACAACAATCGATGACCACAGAATTATCATCGAAGGTCCATTCCAACATTAATCATAATACACCGATTTATAGGAATGCCGGTATTCATGACCCAAATCTGGCTTCAGTGCCAACTCCTGGGGCATCCGACACAGAAAGGGAGAGTTCTCCTAGCAAAAGAACGCGAGTTAATGCTAGTTGATATTCAAGCAAAGTCGAAGAAGTTGGTGGTCTCTTAGAACAATAATAATACTACGTATGATCAATAGATATTTCGTTTATTTTTTTGTGACACTGTTATGTTTTCCTTTAAAAATTGTAAATTATATATATTTTTAAACATTGTAGAAAGTAGACTTTCTACAAAAGTTAGTAAAAAAAATACACATTTTTAGGCGATTCTCATCATTCTTAAAAAACACATTCTGCATCCTACATAAATTATTTATACAAATACGCTTAAACACATTCAGTTTTACATAACCTTTTTTATATTTAAGTATCCTAATGAGATTCATATGCTTGATGAGTTCGTTTTCTCTCATGTGTGATCTAAATAAAGTCGCACAGACAATTCTCTAAGATTTGTGAAATTAAACTATCATGTATCATATGTCAAAAAAAAAAAAAGAATATACTGTATAGTATAACGCAATATTACGAAGTCATTTGCCACATATACAGCCTATTGATGCAATCCAATATTTTTTTACAAGAGACGTAAATGAATGCCACCTTAAGGTAATATTACTGGCTTGTCCATTACGGCTAGTACTTTGTGACTGAAAATTGTCAAAGTCAAAAGTAATTACATCAGTTTATCTTTAGGTGTTATATACAGTATCTTCCCTCTAAAAACGTCTCGTCATAACAAAAGGCTGCCTGCATAATCGAATTATGACTTTTTTGGAATGAAATGGTATTAATTGTGATTCAAAATTTGATCTACTGTTAATTGTTGTGGTTTCATGGCATTGTTAAGATGAAGATGCACGTAATATGTATTTTAGTTTTGTCCCTGAGGCGATCACCTCGCCAAAGAAATTATTTATCATCTATTCTCTGGTGCTCGTCAAATAACTTCCGGAACTTGAGCGATCACATAAATTCATTCTTGTCATGTCTCGAATTACTCCCAGTTTGGTATTTCTCGCTCTGCTTATAACAATATATTTCACGAAACCAAGCAACAACGACCATTGGATCGAGTTGGATTCCACAATTGCTTCTCTCGATCTGGAATCGATTCAAAAGTCATCACAGATCAAACAAACCGAACCACGAAATCAAATTGAAGTCGATGATCAACCTTTCACCTCGTCCATCGATTCTGACAGGGTCAACAGGCATTTCAATGGTATAATCTATTCTTTGGATTTCCTACGTACGTACAAGATAGTATTTGTGACCAAAGAGATTCCTGAAATTGACTTTGTTCACAGTGAAGATGGGGCATATACGAAGGATGAAAAATATCAGGTTAAGGTTTACAGAATTAGAAGAGTGTTTCCGAGATTGAAAAACTTGGTGAGAAATTTAGCTAGAAGATGGGGATAATTATAAACTTTATAGGCGTCCATAATAATTTTTCAATTAAACGTTAAACATTATACTCCAGTCTTCTTTGTAATATAAAAACTACGGTATGCGAAAATTTTTCGTGTACATCCGGTCACTTAAATAATGAAATGTTATAGCCATCAAATACTAGGTTTATGATATTCACTCGTGAAAACAAGGCCGTCGTGTCTTCGATAGACTACAATCCCTTTTAATGATATGTGCTATATACTAATTAAACGAATAATATCTCGGAATGTTTTTTATTCTTATAAATAAAACCTAACAATCACCAACAATCATAAACCGCATCCCGATACTGTTAGCGTTCTCGGCATATTTTATTTTTCCTTCTCTTCGTCTTTTCCCCTATTCACCAAAGTTTTTCCGACAAAGACTTCGCTCAAAAGAAATAGTATTATCAAGAATAATGAAAATAATGAACTGATCACAAAGTGACTAATCGTAGTTCCTATTTCCAACCAGCTTCCATAATCCCGTACCAGGTAAAAGAAGTTTAACGTCATTATGTCCGAAGTTGATAATACCAACAAGAATAAACCGAACGGTGGTAGATTCAATGATTTGTTAATGATTCCAAATACTGATGAAACTATGAAGAACGGTATGATGATTTTAAGCAATAATAAAGAACCCATCAAAAACGGATTAAAAATTGTGGTCAGACGGTAAACGCTTTGCAAAGAGAAACTGGCCAAGCTTGCGACGTTGCCTGTTCCAAAGAATGCTACTTTGATGAAGAATAAAAATATCAGGGATACCCGGGAATCCCGTAGTTCGAGTTTCCGAACTCCACGTGATTGTCCTTGACCTGATAATTTTTCCGTTTCGTAAAGTAGCTTTTCGATTTGATGCCATATCACGAGCGTTATGGATAGGAAATAATAAAATAATACTTCGTAGGAAATGCTGAGAAGCACAAACAATGGCGCGAATGCAAGTATTATGGTACTTAATCGTTGAAAATAATGTTTCGGGGTGCTTAGGCCGTATGCAAACGGGGTTGCTGTCGATATTGCTACGTATTTATTTGAAATATAGTAAGTCGCATAAACCTTCATGCAAAAATGTAAATGCATCGCATACCCAATATTATCCACGCAATGACCTGATTCAAGAAGGGTAATCCGGCCTTCGCTTTTAATTTATTTGTTGTGTCATATACAATTATTGTACTTAAAACAATCAATCCAATCTAAAATAATAATAATAATTATAGTTATTATTATTATTATTATTATAAATATTACATTGTCTCAACACAAAATAAGAGCTCCTGAAAATGACTACCTGAAATCCGATAACATTTTTTGATCCAGGACTCTCAAATTCGAAAATCGTGCTTTTCCGAAGAGTGATGATACCAGTTAATATTATCAAAATCCCCCCGATTATCCTACACACAAATTGTTTAATTCAATTGCAGTAATGACAATATATTTATAAAATGTGAGATACTCACACCAATATTATGTCTTCTCCCTTTTCTACAGGAAGTAATGTAAAGACGCTTGACACCAGGCAAGAAACGAACCACGATATAAAAAGTAACGTATTTTCATATTGGACTTTGGACTTCATGAATAATGGCCAAAAGGCCAGAAGCACGAAACATACACTTAAGATACCACGTTCAAAATAGCTGTACACCTGTGCATGGAAAAAAAGGTGGTAAGAAAATTTTTTACTCAAATATTTCACTGGAATTTCACTCACCAGAATTTCCAAGATCACAACGTAACCAATAACATACGATAAAAGTGAAATCGAACTTTGGTGACTTAAAGAGAGTCTAATAACGTCCACAAATATATTTCTCTCTAATAATACCTCACGCCAAAAATATACCGGAAATATCATATAAGTGTAATAGGTTCCAGGTGATTTTTGAGCATAAAGAAGTCCTCCAAAGAGAACCAATGAAATAGCCGCGATAGCATTTATCTGTTGATAAATAAATTTTAGTATAAGCATGATTCTAGAACGTGCAATCAATAGTGAAGGCAAAAATTTTTTGCGTACATAAAGCTTGTACGGATCTACTCTCTCTTCAATGACCAAGTTATCTTCTTCGTCAAGTGCATATTCTTTAAAAGTGAACTTCAAACTATACATAATCCAACCAACATAACCGGCTGTGACAAAAGATCGTAGCATAAGCCAATCGTATCTATGAATGATAAAGATGATTGAGGAGATGTTGCTTTTGTTAATTCGCTCTTTGACTATTAGGCCCGCAAAATCAATTGGTTTTACATACGTTTGAAAGTATCGCAACCCTTCTAAGGAAAGTTTGTTCAGTATCACACATAGTGACTCTGCCTTTTCATACTGCTCGGCGTCAATGAGTCCTTGAATCTGATCAATTAATAACTCGGGGTTATGTGTGGAATTGCTTAATCCTGGATAAGGCTTGAACCATAATTCCGTTTGCCTTTTATGCTCTAAATGGTGGTGAAATGTAAAATCAGAAATTACATTCATCATTATTGATCAACAAGTCAACAGGCACGTTCGCTAACCGTATTTAACTTTGTACTGTTCTAGAATTTCCTTAGAATTTACAAAAATGCTCTGAACTTTGAATATTGGTGTGTTATCCAGGTAGATAAGAGGCAATTCTCCGACTGAATTTACAGGATAATTTATTCCAATTAGTGATGACTAAGGATAGAATTGCTTTTATTAGCAACCAATGAACCCAATGATCATCCCCGAAAGCATCATTGGAAGAATACCATCAATGGTGCAATGTCAGCTTGTAAGATATCATTGCGTTGAATATTATCTAGTTTCCATTCTTTCGAAAATTCATCATGCCCAGTTGGATGTGTCCTATTGGGCTTCTTAATTCCTGCACCCCATGCTATTATTGGAGTACGCGTATTATCCGGATGTCCATCCCCATGGTTACCTAGAGTGACAACAACCTTACTATTTTTCTGAAAAATGTTAACATTGTATACTGTCGAATAATTACCTCGATTACTCATTCCATGATCAGCGGTAAATATGTATGCTGTCCTCCCGTCATTTCCATAAAAGCCTTCAATAAGCTTAACGGTCTTGCGAATCCCTTCATCAACTACTTTAATATTATTCTGATATTCTTCGGAATGAGGACCATAAGCATGTCCATTGGTGTCTAATCCAAGTAAGTGCAAAAATATTACTATTTGATCATCATTTATCTTTTTGTATAGTTCAGGGTCAGATGAGGTATTCTTGATGAGTTCAGAGAACTGATCAAAGACCCAGGTGTCCAATTTGGTAGCATCTGAAATGCGCAGCAATTTTTAGTGGTACACACGAAAAGTAAGAAACAAAAGACACTCCGTTTACCTTCCGCAAAGTTCTCACTGTCATGACTGTACATAATTGCATCAACTCGGTTTGGATCAGATGCACCATCTGCGAACATTGGCAGTATATCAGGCGAGCCAAATGACCAAGTGTGTCGACTTTGATTGAAAACGGAGTCAAACTCGACCGGATTCGTTTTCCAACCTAAATAAATCGAATTGCTGGTTTAAAGTTAAAATCAATGAAACCTACTCTTATTAATCGGCCTTTTATTTCATGTGACGTATATATGGAGCATCTTCGACATATATTTTACGTCTCCATTAGCACATGGTATGACTCCGCACAAGGTATTCTTCTTAATATTTTGTTTTTTATTTGAAGAATCATTCTTATTCAATAAAATGTATAATAGGTCGCCATACAACCCCCGGCTAAAAGACTAGTACTATTTGTTGGTAAGCCTTGGTTTTCAAATGAACACCTATTATTGCAATATGATAACCCATCATTTTTTTAATAGGTGATGGCCTAAGAGCGGATAAACTATATCAGCTTTATCAGGATGAACATGATCACGATAAATTCGTTACATATGCACCATTTTTAAGAGATATTATACTGAATCACGGAACATGGGGTGTATCTCATACTCGAGTACCCACCGAATCAAGACCCGGTCACGTTGCAATGATCGCAGGATTTTATGAGGATGTTAGTGCTGTGACTAAAGGTTTGGCCGATCTTATTTTAGCGTATTGTTTCATTGATTTTAACTTTAAACCAGCAATTCGATTTATTTAGGTTGGAAAGCGAATCCGGTCGAGTTCGACTCCGTTTTCAATCAAAGT